CCTCCGGTGCAGGCGGGAATCGAACTCATGCGGAAGTGGCTTTAGCTTCTCAGTGCAGTGCTTTAACCCGCTGCGCCACCAGGGAGGGCCCGGGTTGTTATTATTTTTCATGTGGATGCTGTGACTCCATCTTAGGTCAATTAAATCAGAATCTCTGGGGTTAGGGCCCAGATCGCCTACTTTTTAGGAGCTCTAGCGTGCACTGGGGGTCTTGAAAACCCTTGCTCCTCAGAACCTATGGGTCTGAATCAAGGTCCTGTCCTTAGAAATTTTCTCATGCGTAACCTCAGTCCCTCTTGCTGCTGTTTCCTCTTGATTTGAGGCGGGATGGATCCTGCACACGTCCCCCCTTCCTGCCCTGCCCAGGAAGCAAACCTGCACTCAGGCTTTCCCTAGGAGGGGCCCCACGATGGCCCTGGGAACACGGGGAGAAGGGGCTTAGTCCCTGCCTCCAAAATCTCCCATGTCAAAGGAGAGATGAGTATGTTGACAACTGACGCTAGTGGAAAGGCCAAGAGCGAAACTGAAGGAGGACAGCAGTGGCAGCAGAGTCAAGAGGGGCCGGTCCTGACCGGGAAGGGAAAGGTGTTACTAGGGCTCCGTGAGACCACACTGCCAGGATCAGGGCTATCACTAGTGTCCCGCTGCTCTTGTCTGCTTCTCTGGGTCCACCTGCCTCTTGTTCAGGCCCTTGACAGGTTCAAGCTCCTTTAATCTCCTCCCACATTTCTTTCCTCCCTGGCCCCTGCAGTTTCTGGACATTTCTCCCCTTGACCTAGGGGGAAACAGGCCTGGAGAAGCTTCCTCCCTCCCCTGGAGGGCGGCAGCTGAGCAGGACTCTCGGAGGGCTCTGGCATCACGCTGACCCAGCTTCAGGTCCCACTTCTGTCACACCAGCACTACGTGGTCCAGGGAGCTGCTTACCCTGTCTGAGCCTCACTTTCCCCGAAACCACAACATCTAGCTAACTGCCCTCAGTGATGAAACAAACTGCCCCTAGTAACAGTAGGTGTCCATCCATGGTGGCAAGTTTCATAGTCCCTGAAAGGCAGAGGGGGCAGATTCCCCATGGACACTTCCCTTGCAAATGGCCCCCTCTGCTCTAGGTGCAGAAGCACCCCCAGCCTCTCAGAGACGAGTGAGGGGGGGTAGTACAGAATTGGGGGTGTGTGGGATGAGGCCCCCTGGGACTCCCAGGCAGCTCTTCTCTGCTTCCCAGTGCGTGAAATCACAGGCGCCTCAATCTGTTTGCATCCACTTCATCTGCCAGCTCAGCAAATGCAGAAACAATTAAGGAGTTAATTAGCAGATGGGTGGGAAGGGGCTTCGGACCTGAGGCTGATGGGTCCCCCCACTAGATACAGCCCTCCTCACCTCTCCAGGCTCCGCATCACCCCCAGACTCTCATCTTCTCTCCCTGCTCTCTTTTCTGGCTCAAAGGCTTCTCTTTCTTGTTTCTTTGCCTCCTCCCTCTTCTCTTTCTTCTCCCCCCACTCCTCTCTCTGATCCCTCTTCTCTTAGCTTTCCTATCTAGTCAGTGCCTTCTCCATCCTTTGGGCACTCATTCTTTCCTCCTCCCCACATTTTCCCCCACCACCCTTCCCATGCAACTAGAATCTGGGTCTCAGAAAATGTGCCTTGCTCACTGGCTCATGAATTTAGGGTTCGTGTCTCTACAGGAGTCACTTGGCTTAGAGGTGCCTGCCGGGCTGGGGCCCATCTCCGCCATCCAGAAGTTTCTCCTCTGGTCCTTGCCATCTCCCAGCCTCTCCAGGTCCTGGCTCTCTGGGTGTCTCAGCATCTCTTTCCTTTGCTTGCATCGTGGGAGGGGGTTGTGGGCTCTCCTGGGTCTTGGCATTCCATCTGCACAACGAGGACCATGCTAGACCCTGAGATTTTCCTCCCTGGAGGGCTGGCAAGTGGCCACCTTCCTTCCATCACTAGTGCCAATTTGTGTGTGAACTTGCCATTTGGAGAGTCAGGACTTCAGATGGCAGATTAAAGAGATAAAATATAGAGACTGAGAGACAGAAAGAGGCAGAATACGAAGGAGAAATGGAGAAATTGGGGCCAAGACCGATCAAAGGGCAGATGTCAGGGGGAGGGGGCAGAAGGGGCAGAGGGAGGGGGTAGGGGTAGGGAGAGAGGGGGCAGGTCAGAAAGAGGTAGGAGAGATGGAGATAGGGGAGGGAGCCCTGAGTCTCTCCTTCTTCTGACATTCTGGATCTTTGAGATGAAGCTGGAACAAAGGTTTCCTCTTCTTGGGAAACTCCCCTTTAATGCCCATCTCCAGCTCTCACCATCAGTTCCCTCCCACACCAAATGTCCTGTCTTTTTCAGGATTTCTGGCTGTCCTGGAAGCAGGTCTAGCATCAGTTTTCTCTGTGACGCTCCCCACACCCACCCCTGTAGCTGTGAGGCTCCCGAAGGAGGGGAGGGGGGAAGGGTCGCTTATCTCAGGGATGTTGGCTAAACTCGGTGGTGGATGGAGGCACCTTGAGGGCAGGAGCTGTATTTCCAGCTCTAGGATGCCAGGACCTGATTGAGCCTGGCAAGGGCAGGCGCTCAGCAGTCTTCAGTGAGTGGCATAAATGAAGAGCCCCTGGGGGCCCATGGCCCGGCCTTCAGCCCTGAGGACTCCCTCCTTCTCCTGCAGAGTTGGTCCTGCCGGTCACTGGTCTCTGAGCTGCCGCCAGCTAAGCACAGCCCTTCCCCTCTGACCTGGAAGCCAGGACCCCTCCATTGCAACCAGGACGCCCTCCGCTGCACCCTCCTCCCACCTTACCCAG